TGTCAGTGAAAGGGGTCTGGTCGAATTAGGGAAACAAAATCTGCTTGGTGGAGATAAAGTCGAAAAGCTGAAGTTTTGTGAACCCTGTGTACTTGGAAAGTCCTGTAGAATGAAGTTCAACAAAGGCAAACAAAGAACACATGGATCCCTTGATTACATCCATGCTGATCTTTGGGGGCCTGCAAGGTGTCCATCACATTCAGGAGCAAAGTATTTTCTATCCATAGTAGATGACTATTCCAGAAAGTTATGGGTATTCATCCAGAAGACTAAGGATGAAACTTTTGAGAATTTCAAAAGTTGGAAGACTCTTGTCGAAAATCAAACTGGCAGAAAGGTAAAGAGGTTGAGAACCGACAATGGCCTTGAGTTTTGCAATGAGGCGTTCGACAGTCTTTGTGTTGCCTCTGGTATTGCAAGGCACAGAACTACCGCAGGTACTCCACAACAAAATGGTTTGGCTGAAAGGTTTAATCGAACTATTTTGGAGAGAGTTAGATGCATGTTGACTAGTGCGGGATTAAAGAAGGTGTTTTGGGCTGAGGCTGTTTCGACAGCAGCATATCTGATAAACAGATGTCCTTCGACAGCGTTAAATATGAAGACACCTGAAGAAGTTTGGTCGGGACATCCACCAGATCTCGACAAACTAAGAGTATTTGGCTGTGTAGCCTATGCTCACATTAGGCAAGACAAGGTCGAACCTAGAGCTCTGAAATGCATGTTTATGGGATACCCTGAAGGAGTGAAAGCTTATAGGCTATGGTGCCTAGAGCCAGGTCACAGGAGGTGCATCACCAGTCGAGATGTAGTTTTCAATGAAACTGAAATGGTTTTCAAGAAAACTGATGATGTTGACGAAGAGCTGGAACAGGTAGAGATTCCTGTTGAGGTGGAGCATGTTGATGCTGAAATGCGTATCCCAGATGAAGTCGAAGAAGAAACAGAAGATTCTGATGATGTTGAGGAAACTGTTGATGACTACCTATTGTCGAGAGATAGGCAAAGAAGAGTCATAAAACCACCTCAGAGACTTGGATATGCAGATCTTGTAGCTTATGCCTTAATCTCTGCAAGTGAAGTTCTAGACGAAGAACCTAGAGATTATAAGGAAGCTATAAGGAGTCGAATGAAGACTGAATGGCTAAAGGCCATGCATGATGAGATGAAATCTCTTCATGATAATCACACTTGGGAACTAATCGAGAAACCTGTTGGGGCAAGGTTAGTCAGCTGTAAGTGGATTTTCAAAGTTAAGGAAGGAATTGAAGGAGTAATGTCGAAGAGGTACAAGGCAAGATTAGTCGCAAGGGGTTTCACTCAGAAAGAAGGTGTCGACTTCAATGATGTATTTTCCCCTGTTGTGAAGCACAGATCCATTCGAATGTTGCTTGCCATGGTGGCTCAGTTCGACCTTGAACTGGAACAAATGGATGTGAAGACTGCGTTCTTGTATGGTGACTTAGACGAAACAATCCTGATGAGGCAACCTGAAGGGTATGTCGAAAAGGGGAAAGAAGATTATGTGTGCAAACTGAAGAAATCTTTATATGGACTTAAACAATCTCCTCGACAGTGGAATAAGAGATTCGACAAGTTCATGGAACACATAGGTTTCATTCGAAGTCAGTTCGACCACTGTGTTTACTCCAGATTTCGACCTGAAAATTCATTTGTTATTTTGTTGCTGTATGTTGATGATATTCTGATAGCAAGCAACAATGTCGAAGATGTAATGAGGGTGAAGGCTGAACTCAATAAGGAGTTCGACATGAAGGATCTGGGAGCTGCATCTAGGATTCTTGGAATTGACATTCGAAGAGATAGAAAGCAGTCGAAATTATGCTTATCTCAAGAGGCATACCTACGAAAGATTCTTGACAAGTTTGGTATGTCGAATTCGAAGCCTGTTGTGACTCCAACAAACCCTCAATTCAAGCTGAGTATTGATCAATGTCCCAGTACTGATGTTGAAAGAACCTATATGAATAGCATCCCATATGCTAATATAGTTGGTTCTTTGATGTATGCTATGGTCTGTACTAGACCCGACATAGCATATGCAGTAAGTCTTGTAAGCAGGTACATGGCGAATCCTGGAAAGGCTCACTGGCAAGCGTTAAAGTGGATTCTAAGGTACATAAATGGGTCTCTGAACAGAGTCTTAATTTATGGTGGAGCCTTGGGTGAAGATAGTAAAGCAGCTGTCGAAGGCTATGTTGACTCTGATTATGCAGGCTGTATGGATTCCAGAAAATCTATTTCTGGATATGTTTTCACTATGTTTGGTACAGCAATTAGTTGGAAAGCAACTCTTCAGAAGGTTGTTGCCTTATCAACTACTGAAGCAGAATATATTGCCCTAACTGAAGCTGTGAAAGAAGCATTGTGGCTTGAAGGTTTTGCAAAGGAGCTGAAACTTCAAGGTCAAGGTATCACTGTTAAATGTGATAGTCAAAGTGCAATACACCTGTCGAAGAACTCAGCCTATCATGAGCGAACCAAGCACATAGATGTGAGGCTGCATTTCGTCAGAGGGGTAATCGAGCGTGGAGAAGTCCAAGTGCTGAAGGTCTCGACAGATCACAATGCTGCTGATATGATCACCAAAACATTGCCAAGTTGCAAGTTTTTCCACTGTATGCAGTTGATAAAGTTGCATGAAGAAAGCTAGTTAGTGTCTATTGATGCTGTAGAGTTAGGTCCAAGGTGGAGATTTGTGGGATTTTGGATCGAACTCTAGTTGGTCGAAGTACTTGCTGCAGTCGAAGAAGGTTCTAGCATGTATTTGTCGAAGGATGCTTGTCGAATTAGGTTTTAGTGTTTAAACCCTAATTTGTTAAGTTAGCTTGTTTGTTAAGTTAGCTTGTATAATGGGCCTTGTGGAAAAAGCCCATTAGTTAGTATGTTAGGTTTTATTATAAATAGCATACTAGTCTCTCATCATTGCATCACAGCAAATCCTAATTAGGGTGAGAGGGTTATTTGTTATTCTTGTAAACTTGTAATCTTGTTTTCTAAGAGAAAGTAAAGAATAGCAGTTATAACCAATTCTTGTGTTCTTCTTCTTCCTTGTTCTTTATTCTTCCCAAATACTATACTTTGTTATTGGTATCCAATTCACAACAAAGTGTTTTCTTGTTGCTCAAAACTTTTTGACTTTGAAAAACAAAAATTCAAAACCAGAATAATAAGTTAAAATTAAAATTAAGGTTGAACAAATTTCCTAAGCTCCGTCGGAAAGACGGTTCTCACATCTGATGCTCTAAACAAATGAGTCGAATAAACTCATAATAAAAAACATGTTGTATTTAATATTCATACGAAACAAACATTCATACGAAATATTCATACGAAACAAACATGTTGTATTTAATATTCATACGAAACAAACATTTTGACATAATAATACCAAGTGGTAGTTACTAGCATGTAAATAGCATGAATATAATATTATCAGGAATGCTACCTTGACACTACAATTTTACACTAAATAGTAAATATTACATAGTATATATTTTTCAACATATTTATACGTTAAACAATATTTTTTAATAAAAAATAATTAATTTTAAAAAAAAATTAAATTTATTTTTTATAACACAAATATAAATTTGTGTCATTAATCAACTTTAGAATTATATTAATCACAAAAATATATATTGCTAATCAATTATTTTACTTATAAATTATTAACCAATTTCACTACATCATTAATCAATAAAATATATATTATTAACTATATTCTAATACTAATTTATAAATATATTAATCAATTTTTTCACTCCATTAACTAATTTTATTTTACTATTTAATATTTTTTATGTTTGAAAACTTATTAACCAAGTTATAAAATGTATTAACCAATTTATTAACCAAAATCTATACTGTATACATATTAAATTTTTTATGTCAAAATATATATTAATCAAACTTTAAACTTTATTAATTAAATTTTAATATTTAATTAACCAAATAAATTTTAGAGAAAAATACATTAAAAAATCAAAATAATATGAAAAACACTATTCACTAATTTGTGAACCGATATAGTGTCAAAATAGTATTTTTCTAATATTATATATTAAGTGCATCATTGGACTAACAATTATGCAGAAAAAATATTACGTACTATAACTGAAAGCAGGAAAATGCGGAGACTGAAAATTGTTGAAATAAATTCTGGAATTAAATGGCAGCAAGATTAAACAACACTCTAATGTTTGAAAGCCAAACCACTCTAATCTAAAAATATGATTAGTACAAAGTATAAGATTATTTAGATTAATTTAGTAATTATTTATCACTATGAATCTCAAGTAATACATGATCAAATTTCCTGATAAAAACAAGATTTGTAATTGGATGACTAATTTAATTTATGAGTTTGAAATATAGGTGGACTGTGACTTGTGTGTTTGGCTTATTCACTGAAAAATATCGATTATAATGAAAATATAGTAGGTATATTGATGATTTTTTTATGTGATTAATTATTATAATTTAAACATATATAAACAAGAAAGAAAAGAAAGGAAGGAGATGATGCTAGATACGGTTATACCAAACACACAACTCTTGGTTGCTGTTGTTTGTAGCCTTTGACCTGCAAGGTATGTGTCACAGGTGCTTCTGGTTACATTGCTTCCTACACTGTCCATGCAACTCTCAGAAACTTAAGTACTTTTATTTTCTCTGCATACACACATCTTTGTCTTGTGTTATGAATTTGCAATTACAGTTGCAGTGGATCAATCTAAGGTGGATTTTTTAAAAAGCTTTCCATAATCTCAACAAAAACTGGTCTTGTTTGAAGCAAATATTTACAACTCAGATGACTAGCTTTGAGCCTTGCAATTAAGGGCTGCAAATTTGTCTTTCATGTTGCCACACCCTTACTCTTACTCTTGTATCAGATATTTGAGACTATAGATTTTTTGAAATGGTCTTGTTTTTTGTTTAAGGATTATGTTTATTCAAAGACAGTGATAGAGAAATATATGTTGAGTTGCGGGAACAATGAAAATGGTGAAGGGTTGGAGGTGGTTACTCTTCTATGTGGAGTTGTAGGAGAGGGCACTCTTCAATTGTTTGGGAAAATTCCTCTTGTACATGTTGATGATGTTTGTGAAGCTCATATATTCTGCATGGAAAGTAGCTCAATCAATGGAAGATTCTTGTGTGCTAGTTCTTATGTTTCGTTAAAAGAGATTGCTAATCATTATGTTCTCCGTTATCCAGAATTCAGTGTTAATCAAGAGTAAGTGGCTATTTGTTTTGAAAAGAGATGGTGAGTTTTGGTTCAAATCAATGTTTTAAAAATCAGATCTAGTCTCTTGAACCTATAGTCCGTCAAATAGTTTGCAATCTCTCGGTACTACCTCTATCCGGTGGAACCACAATCAATTCAACCTATTTTTATTTTAAAAATAGATAACAACACAGTTTGTTGTCCGTTTACCTGTTATTTTTTTTAGTATTAATTTGTATTGAATGAAAGTGCGTTGCCATTTTAAAATTTACATCCTTACTATATAATTTATACATCTAGTTGTAATATAATAGTATAGGTATCTTAAATATTGAGGTGAAAACTTATTCAGGAGTGTTGAAAGGGAAATCAGTGTCAAAATCCCCTCTATCTAGCAAGATATCCAAATCATGTATTGGTGAATTGGTATCTGAAGTAGTGGCTGAAAGTGTCTCATTCATATCAGATTCTGAAGTTTGTGCATTATACCCAAAATGGTATTCTGACAAACCATAGAAATTTGATTTTGAAGTTTCCGGTGATATGAGTGCATCAGAAAAACTTTCCATTATTGTCTCATTTTCTGATCCAATTGATAGAGAAGGAAAACAAAACCAATGGAAATTTTCCTCTTTGGTTTCTTCAAGTTCATCTTTCAAACTGAAATTAGCCCCTTGGGTTTGTGGTTGATTCTTTTGATCATTGTGGAGTTTCTTGTTCTCTAATTTTGAGGGAAAATTCTTTTTTGAAATCTTAGGTTGAGAGCATGTGTGTCTTCCTCTGTAAGTAACCTCAATTGTTGTTGGATCTTCATCTGATCTTTGAATTTGCTTTGTTGCAAGACATCCTTGTCCATTTCTATGTTTGCATCTGTAATATGCTCTACAATCCAAAGGCTAACTATATATTTAATGTCTGGTTTCACATAATTAACTAATAACATATTAAGCATGGACACCGATATAAACATAGACACAGACATGAATGTCATATATGACACTAAACATCAACACTTATAATATTTATAAATAAATAAATAAATTTAACGTAACATAAATATAGATATTATATCTATGTCGGTGTTTGAAATAAGAGCGAATATTTTTTTTTGAAATTTCAGTGCTATAGAGCTAATAATTGTAACTTTTTATAAAAATGAAATGAGGAAATTAAACATTATAACCTGGGAAACTTAGTTCCAAGAATATCTTTTTGACCATATTTTCTCCAGCTATAATCATCATCCAAAGATCCTTTAAATAATCCTGTATTTGTGCAAATCTTCACTTGCTCTTTCCACCTTGGCATACTCTTTCTGCACCCCCACAAATTCAAATCATTGGATAAAAAATTGTATATATTGATTTCTATGATAAGATAAATAATTAAACATTAATTACCTTTTCTTGATTAGAGATTTGGGCTTAAACTCATGGTTTATGATGGGTTTAGTTTCTCCTCCCACATTACCTCTTTTCCTTGGATTAACTCATTCATGAGATGAACACGTTTTATCTTAGTGCTGTTTTCCATTTCAGTGAGTAGAGTGGGTGGAGTGATGAAGGTTAGTGTAAATAATAATAGATAGATGAATTTGGTTGGAGAATATATCAAGATGATATATATATATATATATATATATATATATATATATATATATATATATATATATATATACTCCATATATGGTGCTATAAATGTAATTAAGTTGAGTGGAAATGAGATAGAATTTGACTTGGCAAACATAAGGAGTTTTCTATAATGTGGGTCATCATTGTATTCTGACTTTTGGACCACAGTTTTATTATAGACAATGAAATGAAATCAAATATAATATTATTCATTTCTTCTTTAAAATAGACTATACAAATTATATTACTATTTTAAAGCAGAAATTTAATATTATTTATAGAAAAATAGAAGGATTACTAAAAAAAAAAACTATTTTTTATGAAAACGATTTTATCTCATATATCAAAAAAAAAAAAATCAAGGAATAATTTATGAACGTGTCATGTTTTTCCTTTAAAAAAATATATAATTTATTGTGTCGTTTTTTTTTTAATTGAGGGAGGATGAATTTATTTCTTTGATATATAGCTTTAGTTTGTAGTATTCACTTTCACTCGTCTAAACAACGCAAACAGAACCCTAACTAAGAGTCCTGAATAATGAGAGCCATAAACACACTTTATCTTCAATACGAAGATGATATGTGTTTAGTGTTGGAAATCCACCAAAACTCTATGATAAATTTCTACCACAATGATGATTAGTTATGAGAAAAACAAATAAAAGAAGACAAGATAATTATTTCTGCAGAGTTTCTCTCTGCCCACAAACTGTGGAAAACTTTCTTAATCACTTGCAACTGCAAATTCTGTGATTACAATGAATTGACTTACTTGACTTTCTTGACTTACTTTCAAAATAGGGGTTACTCCCTCTATTTATAACTGAGCTTACACCCTAAGCCCAAGGCCCAAAATATCTTTTTGTTACTAAATCAAATCTAATCAAATCTATTCTAGACTTAAATCAAATCTATTTAAATCTAAAACAAATTAAATCTTCTTTGACACATATGAATTACAATTTAACACACCACCTAATTCATTGTGTCTAAACTGTCTATGTTCATCATGGCCCTTAGCTTTCTGAAAACTTCGACTTGCACTCCCTTCGTCATGATGTCTGCAATCTGATTCTCAGTTCTGCAGTGTTCCAAATTCATCTTCCCATCTGCTACCTGCTCTCGAAGATAATGGAACCTTATTTCGATGTGCTTACTTCGACCATGTGCTATTGGGTTCTTTGCCAGATTAATAGCTGACATGATGTCTATCTTCATGGTAATTGCTCCATGATCTTTCCCTATTATCTCTTCGACCAAGTTCACCATCCAGGTTGCTTGACATGCACAAAGAGAAGCAACTATGTATTCTGCTTCGCATGATGATAATGCCACTACTGGTTCTTTTCTCGAATTCCAAGCAATTGGTGCACCACCTAGCATAAACACATATCCTGTTGTTGACTTTCGATCTTCAGCATCACTACACCAACTCGAATCAGTGTATCCCACTAACTTGCATTCTTTTCCTTTATCAACTGCAGGAAACAAAATGCCATAATCGAAAGTTCCTTTGAGATACCCTAAACTCTTCAGATTTATGTTATACGTTTATTGATGTTGTTATTGTTGATGTTGGTGTTGTTGAGACCCTAAACTCTAGAGGTTTAATCTTGTTGTTGTTTAAATAGATTTATGTTATAGATTTATTGATGATGTTCTTGTAGTTTTGTTAAAAGGTTGATTTTTTGAGTTGTTTTTTTTATGTAAATTGTTGTTTGTGAGTTGTTGATGTTATTGTTGTTGTTGTTGTTGTTTAGTTGTTTTACTACTCAAAGTTATGAAAATATATATGTTATAGTTTAATTGTTATTGAGCTTGAGTGTTAGATTGATATTGATACTGAGTTTATGTTATTTGTGATTTTTTGTGTAGCTCTCATCTTGTTCTGTCGAGTTGAGTTTATTAAATTGATGACTTCTCAGCAAGTGTACTGATAATGTTGAAGTAATAAAAATACTGATCCACATGGATTGCTATTTAACAAGACAAATATCTTGCAAAGTTACTTAAATATTAAATGGGGTGGTTTCGAGTTTTATGCAAAAAATAATAAAGGCTGTTTTGACAATTATACGATAGCAATTAGGTTTTGTTATAGAGTTCCCTAATTCTCTATTGTTGATGTTCGATGCATTGCATAATTGATATTGTCGTGTTATTGTTCTGCGGCGGATTAACAAGACCAATATACCCAATCTCTTGGTGTATAGCTCACCAATATATACTCGAAGCTTCTAATCCTTAGTGCACATGCGTAAGCAAGATTAGGCAATGTAATAGAATGTTAATCCCTAAGCCACAACTCAAGGTATCATATTCCTATTTACCGGCATAAGCACAATAATTACTCTAGGTCCAACGCATAGACTAATGGTCAATATTCCTTATGCGCCAAAAATCAGATTAAAAGAGCATCTCAGATAAAAACCATTAAGAACGAGGTGCAATTGAATAAAATAATAACGTCAATAAATTATGAAATATGAAATCAAACATGTGTTCCAACAATATTGTAAAAGGTTCGTCCAAATAAAACCTAACCTATGAGAAATTAGCTACTCATAATTCAAATTACAAAACCAATAAATTATATGAGGTTTGCATAAAAGATCCCTTGAAGAACTTGCCTCCAATGGCTCTAAATATGCTCCAAATATATCTTCTGGTGTTGTAAAATTGTATAACCCTTGAAACAGTGCTAAAACCGCTTTTTAAAGTAGTCAGAATGCGTTAGAAAGTGCCCAGAAAAAGGGTTCATCGCGCGCGAGATTACCTGCATTGCGCGCGCGTTGTAACTTATCCAAGCCCATCATGCATGCGATGTTGCGTGATGCTTGTGTGATTATTTCAGTGACTGACACATGTTTGGTCCTTTTTCAGCTAAATTTTCCCAAAGTCTATATTTCTTCATACTTTGTCTGTTTTGTTTCGTTCTTTAGATATTCCTCATCAACTTAAGTGGGTTTTGGATGGATTTTCTCCGCTTCTTCGATAGACTATATTTATTGACAGAGTGTCATCACAACCCCAAACACAATATGTTGTTTATCCTCAAGTAACTTCCTTACAACTGGAAATTCCAAATAGAAACATAAACCACAACAACAGTTGAACATCACCATAATTATTTTTACCTGATCACTATTCTAGCTTCTAGCTTCAATCCGACAAAATCAGAAAAATTCCTCAACTTTTAACAAGTACTCAACTTGTCTCATCTCACTATAATTCGGTCAATTGACAAGGTTTTGAATGCAATTTTACCATTAGATATTTTGTATGATGTCAAAACTAGGAAAACTTAGCATTTATATATATTGGACGGTATCTATGTATCATTTGGTGCACCCTTGAATTATAGGTCATAGGAAGCATTCAAAACAAGTTTAAATTTGGACAAAAACATGAAACATTATTTTCTACACGAAAATTAATAACATGTGCCTGCACATCCGTCTTTCAGGCTAACACATGTATTGCAATTTTAAAGATTGTAGCTTATGTCTTGTATAAGTAGGCACATAGTCCATTTCAGGTCGGCACATGATAAAACAAATAAGAGTATGTATCGACACATACGATTTTCAAGTCGACACATGTGCTGCATTTTTAAAGCATGTAGCTTTTGTTTCTCATGTGTCAACCCATTGTCTGTTTTAAGTCGGAACATGATTTAATTTTTGACCTCATGTGTCGGCACATAACTTGTATGCGTAGACACATCCTGATTGTTTGGTCAAATTTTTAACTGTTTTTTAAATCCGAAGTTTCCCTCTTTGCCACCATATTTCCTCAATTATAAATACTGCATACATGCATCATTTCAACTTGATGTGTCAATTCTCTGAATTATGTGATTGACATTATAATTGGTAAAACTAATATAGCAACAATAGGTTAAATAAGATTTTCTAACTTGTAGAGAAAATAGGTTAAAGTTATATTTTATGAAGAAACATGTTGAGATGAGAAGTCTCATCATCTGGAGCAACATTTCTTATAAGATGTCCTATGCAGGATCATACGATATCGCGCATGTGTTGAACTGGTTTGTTGGATTCTATTATGATTTAATAGATGCAAAATATTCTGGCAATATTATGCAGTTTTATGTGGCGCTGATTTAAAGGTCTGGAAGAATCAAGAAGAATATTGAAGAATATTGTCTTTCTAAATAAGGAGACTCTTTAGGAAATATTTGATTGAAGACCTATTTTGTTGTAGAGTCTTCTACATACTTGTAACAACTGATATGCTGTGATTTGAAGCCCAAATCCAGTTGGGAGATAGGTTATAAATAGAAGCATTGTAACCTAGGTAAAGGTACCAGCCGAGAATAAGAAAGATGTAATCATTAGGGTTGAATCTGTACCACTCTCTAAGAGAGTTGGTTTGTGTGATCCACTCGACATGTGAGTTGGATTGTGTTCCTTGAGTTGCAAGGTTCTGTTATCACTCTTAAACTTTTAAGCATAGAGTTGATTATTTTTCTCCTCGAAGATGGGAAGCAAGAGTGAGTATTGTTCTTGGAGGAAGCTTTTAAGTAACTTTAAGTTGTTTTCTTAGTCAAGATTCTTGGCTAAGTATTGTCATGGAAGTGTGTCTTCTCGCCATGGAAGTGTGTATTATGTTTTCATCATGGAAGTGTGTCTTCCTGTTTTGTCCAATTGTTGACTGTGATTGATGAGGTATTGAGGAGGGCCTCATATCTAGGTGATTATTAGATAGAAGTACATCACGAGTAGTGATTAAGTAAGGAGTTGTAAATGGGGGGAGTTTAGCTTCGAATTGATACTATTATAGTGAACTTGTCCCTGGCTTGGTATACCCCTGAGCAGGAAAGTTGCTATGAACTTGGTTAACAATTCATGTGTGTTGTTTATGATTTTCAGTACTG